GGGCCTTTTATGGTTATTGGTCTGGTAGGCGCTTTGGTAGGAGTGTTGATTGATATATTGAGTTAATAATGACATAAGAATAAACAAACAAAAGGCACTAGATATAAGAAAAGAAGTATAATTTTATACTTTTATGTCTTTCTGGATCTTCTATTACGTAACTGTTGCTTGAAGTAAATACAATTGCTCAAATATTAAGTATTAAGAGATTTATAATCTTGTTGTGCCAATTATAAAAAACTGGTACTGGTTTTTCTTTGCTTGTATGTATTTTCAGTTTTGAAGTTAAGATAATAAAGGAAGAGAGGTACGTTAACGTTTCTATGGAGAACGCTGTATAAAATTCTATATTATACTTAAAACCTTCTCCAGCTAGGCTACAAAAATACAATACTTCCAACCCTATCCATTAAACAATTATCATTAAAAAATCCTCGCAAAACCTAACAATACTTTCTTTCACAAGAAATCACACCTCCCTAGACTAAGATCAAAGAAACGCTAGTAACAAAGTCTCAATACCTAACCTTTCGTGACAAAAAAGGTACAAGGAAACTGCAACACAATAAAAAAACTAAACAAACGAAACAACAAGGAAAGAAAAAGAAAGGTAAAAAAGAGAAACAGGGGAACATAATACAAGCTCAGATACCAGCGATACTTTTGAAACTGATGGCCATACGTTCGAGAAACTTTTCCCTATTGTTTTGACGTGTGGAACCGATCCTGAAAGAGCGTCCCCGATATTTATTAACAGTCGACACGGCACGATCGCGTGTCTACCTATCTATACTTGCAGCCACGTGTTACGTATGCACATATATCGTACGTGTGTGTATATAGGAGATGTACCGTAGCAGTTGGGTGTCGCATGTCTGTACGAACGCGAGCGGTGTGAATAGCCGGATAGACAATTGACTCTTTGTCGAGTCGCACCATCAGCCAACCGGCCCATGTTGATGACACTTTACGATCAAAAAGGAAAGGTACAAAGGGCTGAAGATTACCGGGCATCCAGTGCAACAGAATCGAAAGGGTAAATAAAGACGTGTGTGTAACGTGGTCCAAGTGGGCCAACGAAGCAAACTCACCCAAGTAAATCGGTCTAGGGTTAGCTTCGACTGTTACTTAGTGAAAGAGGTTATGGATAGAGACTATGGTGAGTTTATGAATGAAATGATGACTGGAAAGGGATGGAGTAATGTGATTGGTCTATAATATATAATTTATGATACCTTATATATATGAACGGTTCAGAGAAAAGGTGAAACAAGCGATTTGTGAT